GCTCCTGCTCCTGCTCCTGCTCCGGCTCCTGCTCCTGCTCCTGCTCCTGCTCCTGCTCCTCCTCCTCCTGCTGCTGCTAAGAATAAAAATCATCATAATAGCTACAACAATAATAGCAACAACAGTAAGAACACTGAAATATGGTTTATCGGTTCTACTCTTGGCCGGGTTGTGGGGCTCGGGGTTTCGAGGGCAAGTAGTGATCCCATTCTGCATGCAAGGCTACATGATTGCGCTGCTCGGCGCAATCAGATGGGGTGACCGATCCACCACGTGTCTCCTTCCCTCTCTTCGCCAAATCGCCCTTATCCTTTACAGGCGTCACTCGATTGGGGTAGCTGAAATTTGACTGCTAGAAGCCGGTTCTGTGCAGCCAGATAAGCGGCCCTTCATGGCCCTTCATACTCGCAGTCGTTCGGTGATGCAGTGGTCAGCCCTGCACAACCTGACAGTCTGTAAGTACCCGAGCTAACGGTTTTCAAGAAATGTTCTGGAAGACACTCCGCAGGCCCTACATGTAGGACTCAGTGCAAGCAAGACAGAGAAAAGCACATGATCAGCCAACCGCAGATAAGGATGAGAGCTGCAACTTGGACTCCAGGATCAGGATTACCGGTCACATACAGGCAGGAATGTTCGTTTTGGGCTTGCGGCTTGGGATCAGGATCTTTCATCGCTGCCGAAACTTGGTGGTTTCCACTTTGGTTCGATTTCCAACAGGCGTGACTTTCGTTGTGTCGCGGCTAGGGTGAATGTTGGCAATTGAAGGTGGTGAGGCTCCAGGAGCTTTTTACTTGCAATGCGGGCGCAGGACACGGGCTCGTCTTACCCCGTGCTGACGATGTGTGCCGCTTGCGCTCCGCCATACAACGCGGCAACCGCAACTGGGAGTCAATGCAGACCCGAATGGTCGGTCAATATACGTATACATGTCTGTATGAGTATATGTTTTGTTACAAATAGACATACAAATGTGTGCCTATGATGTCTAGGGCGGATGCCCCTGTCTGACGTGGAGTTGGCACCTCCCTTCATCCCATCGGTACTTGCAGGGTAGGCGCTTAGGTACACATAGACTGTTGAAAGATCCTTCGGGTGTAAGTTCGGGAGATTTTCGATTCTTCTCAGCGGGTCCATTAGAGGGTCAGCTCGGTAACCAAAGCTTTTCTGACTGCTCAGGATCCCGCACCTCAGCCAACGGATCCACCACGAACCTGCCTGCGCAATGGCGATGCAGAGGCAGCCCTGAAGCGGCTTCACAAGGGAACCGTAAACAATCAGATAAGCAGTAGTAGGTAGATGGGTAGATTGCAGACGTGTGGCTCATTGATGATACGTCAAGTTACTGGCAGCTCAAAGGCAAGTTTGTCTTGATCTTCCGTTAGGCACACCGGGGGTGGCGGATCCGTGGCTTCCCTGCAGCCAGAAGACGCAACTGCCAGTGTCAAGGTTCTTGCCAGGAATGGATTTTAGTTACCGCTAGTGAGCTAGTGGTGCTGCAGTTGTACAGCCTGAGGCATTCCGCAGGGCCATGCCTGCCCGGACAGGAGCCAGATCAACATTGCAGAGGCAGCTTTGCCACAGCGCCGCAACCACACCATCCCTGCCCAGCAGAAGCTACTCGCCTTAGCCTGGTCCTTGAATCTCCAGGCCGAGTTCTACGAGGTTTCGCCTCTGGAGCAATCAGGTGCCATGTGAGAGCACATGTCAATGTGCAGCTTTTCGGCGCCGTGGCCCGCTGCGCTTTCAGCAGGCCGCAAGGTCGAGCCCGCCGGCTACGTGGCAAAAGTTCCTGAGATTCCTGGCCACTCGCTTGCCGTCAGAATCTCGAGGCTGAAGGAGCAGAGTCTGGGCCTCTTCTGAGGTGCTGTGAAGTCTGCTGCATTTGATGGCAGTCTGGCAAGCAAGTACCTCATGGACGCTCGGCCGTTCCATTGACTGTTGGCTTGGGCTTGCAACAGCCCGCCACGGTCATGAATGGACACAGCCTGTGCTGAGGACACCATTTCTGATGCTTGGCTGGCCATCGACATGGGCCTCACACAAAAAGCTGCCATCCTCCGTTTCAGGGGACATTGGGACATCGACTGCGTGCCCTCCAAGGTGCAACAATGTGCAACATCAGCGGAAAGTAGAGCGAATGCTTGGGCCGTCAGGGCTCGCGTGTTCCTGCGTGCAGCTCCCCGAATCTGTCTCGGCAAGCCCCCGTTACATATCGGAAGCACGTCGCCTGTACAGCTGGCCTTGTCAGGTGGTACTGGAGTGGACAGATGATTTCATCAGTTGGACGGAGAGGATGGCTGCAGAAGAAACCGCGACAAACCAGGCAGGTTGGAGTGCCAGCAATGCACAGCAGTGTGGCGAAGTCAGACGTTCTCGGCCAGGAGTTCACTGCTTTCACAGACCTTTACGTCTCTCCCAACGCTGAGAACTGGACAAATGGTGCTTTCTATCAGGCGCGTGCCCGATGAAGTGAATACCGCTTGACTCAAACTTGGGCGGATATTCTCTGTGGTGTCTGCCGGTAAGTTTTGCAGGTTGCCTATGTGGCAGAATCCGAGAACAGTGTCATCATAGACGGCGTCACTCCAGGATCGCTGTACAACATTCATTGTTCCTCGGCAGGTTGGGTGAATCCAAATCTCAGTATGAGATTTGCAAGCACAGCATCTTGTGTGAGGGCTTCGCTTCGAGTCATGTGGGAGGTGTCATGCCAGATCTAGTCCCCGTAGGTACCCTGCACATCCATGATCGGCTTCCCCTGCAGAGCCCTGTATTCAAGAGCATGTGTAGTTGCTCTCGGCACCAGGTTGGTCCACTGATGCAGCGAACAGCTCCGGCCCTGAGTTGAACCCCGTCGCAGTCACAACGGTGGACATGATAGGGAAGCTTGGCAGCAAAGACATCCCTCTACTGCCTCTACCCATATGTCTGTGTTCCACGTTCACCGAAGGTCCTTCAGCTGCTACGCACACGGTTATAGCGCTGGAAATTCAGCTCAGGCCATATCTGACGGTGACACCCGTCTCAGCGGAGGACTTCAATGTGACGGTCGGACTGGAACTCCAGGATCCAGGGAAGGCCTACCCAGCTCTCTCCACCTGTGTGGCGCGAGAGAGCCTCGGAGTTTATTGCAAGAAGAGGTTTTCCAGGGGAGTCTCAGAAAGGTAAGTTAGCAAGAAAGGAGACTCGGAGAATGCAACCTCCGTCTCTTGTACTCAGGAGCATGGGTCTGGCTCTGCCGAACCAGAGCCAAATCTCTTCCAAGGGACAGCGCTGCCAGTACCTCCAAGTGCCACCTACGGACAGCGAGGCAGCTGCTTGTAGGACCGCAGCGTAAGAATCTGCGGCAGCCGGACAAGCGCAAGTGAGTCGTTTCGACTTCAGGCTGGGCGAATGCCGATGATGGAAGTGTCCCTGGCCCAGCAGCTTTCGTTTACGGTGTTCACGGGGGCGATTCATTGTGCAAGGTTCCGATCCCGGCTGGATGATGAGACCACAGAGGTTCATATCCAGCAGCGCCTGGACAGCACAGAGTGACAAATTGACACTTAGTGAATTGCGATGCGGCCGCAGTGACTGCACTCGTCGTAGCCTCTGAGTGTCGTGAGACAGGTCTCAGTGGGGAGGCCCTCGCCAGGACTACCGCACTTGCGGTCTGCGGCAGGACGCCGCGGCATCTAACAGCACCGCACAGGCTTCTTGTCACTTCTCCAGTCTCATTGTTTGGAGCTCTCGCGCTAGATGTATTGAAACCCTTTGCAGACCGCAAGAGATTGCTCGCCTGGCGTGGATCACAGCCTACGCCTCACGTCTCGTGCCTCCGACCCGACTCTCGCCAGGAGCCTCATCAGGGCCCGGGTGGCTGCGTCTCCCGTGCTTCACACAGGAAGGCCGATGAATTCGTTGTTGGTCAGGATCCCTTGTCATAATTCATGACATGTAGTCTGGCCAAGCTTAGGTGTTGCAGTCGCTCAAAGTGATGCCAGCAAGTAGCATGCCTTCTGTCGTAGTGGCAGCTGTGCTTCCTCATCGTAACCGCCATCATCATCATCATGATCATCACCATCATCATCATCACCATCATCAACATGACCTCCATAACTGTATCCACAGTGACCACGTGGTAGTAACAATGTTGATGCTGGTCGTGATGGCGGTAACCATAGCAATGACAAACATATTCAGGGTGGTGTACCAGTAATTACAAGAAGAAGTAGTAGTAGTAGTAGTCGTCGTCGTCGTCGTAGTCGTAGTGGTCATGGTAGTGGTAGTGGT